CTAATATGAAGAGCAGCTTCTGGTTGCAAAAGTTTAAAAAGGCTTTATTTTCATTTGTTTTGGCTTTATGTACATCAAATAATTGTTATGGGCAGGTTACAATATAAAAATGTTTGTTATAATCATGTCTTGTGATTATTTGACAGGAGTTTTACTTTTAAACTGTAAGTATATTTTTTCTTATAAAAGACTAAATAAAAAATTGATGGTAATTTTTGACTGTAACTTTACAAACAGCACTCCCATAGACATGCATTTCTTCAAGAAAAGTTTTAGGCCTTTAATGTTTGCAGGTTAAATCTGCCAACAGTGTTGTTWAAAAGCAAACTGTAGATCAGAAAACATGTTTTTATCCTTATGTCATTTTCAGCCTTGATATTTTAAATCATTTTCATTCTGATCTCAAGAACAGAACGTGCTTTTCTGTCCAAGGCTGGATCCATATTTGGACCAGTTTATGGCCTACGGCCTCGGCACTTTTGGGTCCACAGCTGTGGGAAGCACACATACTGACTATATAAACCCTTTCCAGTCAGTATAAGAAGTCTTCACATTGAAACATCCTCTGCTCTCTMTTTAATTATTATTATTTTACTAATTTTCTGCCTCTGCTGACCATCTGAGGAGCTTTGGCTCACATGGCTGCTGCTAAGTATGTGGTGTGTGTGTTGATGCTGCTGGCAGCTGAAGTGTGTGTGGTTCATTCTGAGGACAGGATTAAGATGTGTGGGCGAGAGCTGATTCGTCTGGCTGTCTCTACCTGTGGGAACTCCCGGCTGAGGAGAAGCATCCTGGACACAGAACTGGGTGAAGATCATCACACCTCTGACTGTGTGTTCTCCTGTTCAAGTCCTTCATCGCACATGYCAAGATTTTCTTATCGTTTAAAGGATTATAGACAGATTTACAGTCAACTTGGAAATATTAAAGTTATGTTTCAAAAGTTCTCTTTAAGTCCTTAATATATCTGTGCTCTCTCCACAGGGGGCAAGGACTCCTCAACGGAACAGGACCAGCCTTCAGAAACTCCTCTACAGTCTGATGAAGACAAGGTGGTCTCTTTGGCTCCTCAGTGGGACCCCCCGATGTCGCTGGTCAGACGAGCTGCTGGAAAAATTTCTGATATTTGTTGTGAGAAAGGATGCAGCATGAAAGAGCTGATTCAGTTTTGCTAAAAGCTCTCAAACTGGTCTGGATCAAGATGCTATACTGGGCTGTGAACTCATGACAGATATTTAATAAAGTACATATATTTGAAAATGCAAGTTTATAGTTTTATATATTTTAAAATATTAAAACTTGTAAAATAAGATCTTGATCACACTGTTCAATGTAACATATGGGACTAAAAGGAAAAGCAGAATACACCTGTGATTTGTCACACAATGTTTTCAGTTATTTTCTGTTTTTATCTGAAACTGGTTTAAAGTAAAAAWGCACAGTAGTATTGTTAATCATTGCAAAGCTGTTTTCTTTTATCTGTAAATCAAAGTTAATACAACTAAAACATAAAAAYAATTTCAGCATGTCACTATTTTCTTTAATTAAATTAGAAATGTTCACATTTTAAAACAACACACTCCCTGCAGTCAGTAAGATTTAATWTGTTTGTTCTGTAAAACATTTCTACTGTGTTGGAACAGTGTGGGAGACAGAGTTAGAATTTTTTATTACAATGTTTGGGAGAAAGTTTAAAAAGAGTACACACATCTTCATTGTGCGTTAGGCAAAGCTTCATGATGTGTGTGATCCTACATCCAGCTCACTACAGCAACACCAGAATCACACAACTCCCCTGTGTGTGACTGGTGYCGACAGGCCAATCATCACTGTGGAGAGCCGCTTCATTCAAAATACAATCAATACAATAAATCAATAAATAATGCAATTAATACACTGTGTTAATAAATATTCCATCACATACATAAATGTCCCCATGAAAAGAAAAACAAAATTAACATATTATACATTTTTGGCATGTCTTTATATTATTTATTTATTTATTACATATTGTAATTTTATTTTGTGATACTTTTATTTTGTAAAGCTACTTTACATATTTCAGGGACTTTAATTTGAACTCCCTTTTTATGTCAGGCTGTTTTACTATTTCAGGCCGTTTTCTCCCCAAATATTTTTATTGAGATTTTCCACTTTGAAAATACAATCATGAAACTATCTGAACAAGTCTTCTTTGTAGTTATTACATGAGAATAATTATTCT